TACGATTCATGTCGCGCTGGGGTCATTCCTGCTGTGCTTTTACATATTGTATTCCAATTGGCGTGGTGTGCAGGTGCACGAGAGAAGATAAGACGTCAGTGATGAAGGTGTTTATGTTGTGGGTTGTTTCACCTCATACTGACACAGATGTTGGCTTGAACTTTGATAGGAGAGAAAATACATGTTTGGTTTGTTTTTTTGGGAGATTATACTCCACAAAGTGTGAGATATTATGTAAGTAAAGAACATCTCCCAACCTTGGGAGGTATGAACTGCGTGAATGTCACTCACGTTTTCATTTATTGTTCACTGTTGTGGGTCCAAAGTTCCCTCTCTCTTTAGTCTAAATAAACAGCAGCCCCACACACTTCAGCCAGTCACCAGGCCGTGTTCACTCTACTATGTAGATGCTTCTGAATACACAGAAGGTGCCGTGCATTACAGATTTAGATTACCAAGCACAAATCTGCCTGTGTGTCGGAGCTGTCAGAGAGAGTGTGGATTTCTCCCGGGTTTCACGGTTCTGTTGAGCTGACGTGTATGTGAACAGGTGGAAGGGCAGCCAATGTGAATGCTTAAATGTCAGTGTAAATAAATACGAACTGTAAAAACAATTGCTTCACGGCACATCACCTCCACAAGCTCCACAATATTCTTATTCTCTGGTTAAAGCACTGTACATACTGTACTGTACTGTACTGTACTGTACTCTAGTACTGTTCTAGATATGTTGATCCTGATCTGCCCACAGCTAAGCCTGGGGTTTAAATTTCTGCCCCTTGAGTGATTGAGTCTGACACCCCTGCTGCAGATGTATCTGCATCTTTCTACCTCTGTGTATTATGAAGAGGCAAATATCGTGACCTCCTAAGTCCTGTAGCCATATCCAGGCTCAGAGGGACTCATTTGAACCCATAAGAAAAAAAGCCTAAACTCTCTATGGAGTATGAAATGATTTGTTGGAGAAGTCTTTAGATTCATGTCGAGGACATGTGTCTCACTGATCCCTGTCAAGGGTACACTGTCTCCTGCTCTGCCCAGCAACTCTGACTGACAGATGCTCTGATTTGACCAAAACCACTTAAATGTCAAGCAGTCCCATAAACTTATGTTGAATGAGCCAGAGCATCAGGGCTGGAGTGATGTTTACTGCTCATAACAATTCCCGTTGGCATTTAAGGGGCTTATGCATCCGTTTAATATTGGAAACGGAAAATTGGAAACGCCGGCTGAGGACAGCCTGTCAGAAGTGAGCCGGCTGAAAGTGAACACTCTTGTCCATCTATGATATTTATATTAAACCTCTCCTTTTCTTGATTATTTTTCCATTTTCAGTCAGATTGAGTGGAAAACTGAATATAAATCCTCTAAAAAAAAAACAAAAAAAAAAAAAAACCCACAACCTGTTGCTAATACAATCACATATTTGCTGTACCTTTACTGCTCTGGCCTCGGAAAACATTTGATCTCATTGCTGTTCTTTTCAGACAGCTGGGAAATGTTAATGCTGGTTAAACACACACACACACACCCGTTAGTAGCATGTTAAACTGAAAGTGTGAAGTGTTTGGGCACTTCATGATTTAAGTTATCAACAGACAACACGTGGAGTCCACAAATAGAAGGCTTCATGTTTGCACAGGTGAAAAAAAACCCCAAGATAATTCCATTGATACCCTGTTCTTTGTTTACTCTGGTAACTCATTAACTAAACACTTAGTGACAAGTTCCGACCAAAACACACTCAGATAAAAGATTACAGTGATAAAAAGAGAGCATATTTACTCTGTTTTTCCTGCTCAAGTATTTAAAAGTGTTTCGTTTCCTAAGAGTGAAGGGTGATAACATGACTGACGTGTAAACAGTAGCGTTGAACATTGAGATCATTAAATGTTTACTAAGCACTTTTTTTATTTATTTTTTATTTCTTTCCCGATACGAGCTGCGATTGCCGACACGATCCCTGCAGTGGATTTTGACGTGACTGCATTGAACATTGACTCCATAAATGGAAGTCTTTATGGCGGGTTATTATCGGGCACTTGATACCACTTTGGGGAAGGTCAATGGTGAGATTTAAACTCAAGTGTGCAGTGCCAGCTGTAATCATACCACTCAATGTGGTACTGTAATGGCAGACCAGGGACCTCATCTAGATGAACAAACATTAGCCTCAGGGGGGTTCTGTGGAAGTCGGAATTAGAAGGATTCCAATGTGAAGGGTGGCACGGACCATTGCTGTGTGATTATTAATCACTAGGGGGACTTCTGTTAACGTAGAACATTCTGGTACAGTCTGCTAAAGATACCACAGACTGGTTGCCCAACTATCCCTGTTAAAGTATCTGCAGTAAAGGTTCGACGGTTATAAAAGTTGTCATTTAGCCTAAGCTAGTTTGCTAAAACAACATTCAATTTGGGAAAAACATCTTGTAACATAGCTGACAGTTATAATTTTTTACACCATAATGGATTTTTAACATTTGTTTGTAAGTGTTCAGTTGCTTTGTAGAGAAATAACAATGGGTTTGTCTAGGCCATTGTCATAGGAATGAATTGTCTAACCCAGTGTTTTTCAACCTTGGGGTTTCGACCCCATGTGGGGTCACATGAGATTCATATGGTGTCACCTGAAATGACTAGTTTTATTTTTCTTTAAAAATATTTTGTTTTATAATTATTAATATAATTTTAAATCTTTTTAATATTATCAATATTAAAAATGGATAATATTTTTAACTACACAAAAAAATTATCACCCAGAGGGCTGCGATCACATGACTAAAAAAAAAGTCTTTGGGGTCGCCAGAAATTGACAAAAGAGGGTCAAAAGGACGACTGGTTTAACCTTTGTCATTTTCATTGGAATGCAAATAAATACTTAACAGATTAATTTTCAATTAATGGAAATAATTTACTCTGAACACCTGATATCAGATCGGTTTCCATAGCCAACGTTAACTTTCTTAAAACGTCAAATGGGCCTGGGTTATAATGGGTTAATTTCCACCAGCTGTATAGGTCTGGTTTTATGTCCCTTGCTGCTCCATGTGTTTTTCATTTTCGGTCACCGTCATAAAGACACAGACAGTGATAAGAATGGCAGTACTTTTCCTTGGAGCCCTGAGTTGTGCCATATAAGCACCTCTGTGGGTGGCAAGGGTGCTTATTATAGCCCACCTCCTGAGGAAGACTTAACATTATTTTTCAGATAGTAGGTAGAAATAAAAAGTATGTACCCTGTGGAGAAAAGCCACAGTTTTTATAATGTATGATGAGCAAAAAAAGAAAGCATAAAAACTGTAAAAATAGTGGCCATTTTTCCTCAAACTGTCCTCGTCGCTGAGAGAATAACGCCGTGAAATGTGTCTGAATAATGAGGAGGAAAAACTTCAAGAAACTTTACCACCAAATTCTCAAAGGAAACTGCTGTACAGCTGTGTATTGATGGTTGTAGCAATACCAAGTGACACCAACATCAAGAAGAAGCTAGATGAAGGTGGGACGTCAGTGACATCAGGAACCAAAGGTTCAATATCTGAGTCACGGCCTGTGTTCCTTGAACTGAACCTTTAACACATGTCAAATTTAAGGATGTGAAAGCAAAGATTCATGCATGTGATTCACCTAAACTTATTTGCTCAACCTACCCAGGTCCTTGGTGGAAAACACAGACCACAAGAATATGGTCATGCATGTGATTCACCTAAACTTATGGAAGGTGGAAAACACAGACCACAAGAATATGACTTAGGAAAGTCCCTTTTATATTTGTAGTTTTGTAAGAAAATACACGTGGAATGGTTCTGCCAGGAAGCATAAATTTAAACCTAAATATTTAAGCTTAGTTTGACCTTGATAGTTTGATCTGTTTCTTTTGGTATTGTTGGGCTGTTCAGTGTAGTCCAAACGTATTTTATTCATACATCACAACTTTTGGGGTGAACTACAGTTAATTCTACAAAAAAATGGGCTTGCAAAACTATTGCAGAGTCACATGGAAAGACAAACAGTTCTGGCTCTCATGCATACCAATGGTCATCTTACAGTGTCCACCTAACCCAATCCCCAAATTGTATGTTTTGGACTCACTCCAGGTACTTGTTTCTGGGAAGAAACAATAGTACCTGGAGAAAACCCACACTCGCACTGGAAAGACAAACAAACTCAACACAGAAAGGCCAGAGGTCAAACCAGTGATCTTCTCTCTGGAAGGTGAGACCCATAACCACTTTTCCACCATGTGGCCTGGTCAAAAACTTGATGTGTAGGCTGAGTAATACTGTAACTAACTCCTTGTCTTTATCTAAACTTTGTAAAAAATTAGTGTAATGACCTTTAATGGTACTATCTAGTAATTAGTACATTTATAAATTTGTACCAAGATTTATGAGTCACCAAGCATGAACAAATTGCTTATGACCAAAAGTTTAAATAGACTCTCACATGTTAATAGAATGTCACAACTACTGTAAATTGTTTCATTGACATTTCTCTATTTGTCAATGTTTTATAAAAACATACAGTATATTTACACTTCAAAGTTTACCTAGTGTTTTTCAAGTTTTTTTTTGAGGAGTAGTAACTATGGCTAGTTTATTAACAAAGAATAAACTCACATTTAGGCGATTGTAAGAGTGGCATAAATAAAATAAACCTCTGGTAACCAAGGGCATTGATGAATGATTTAAACCCTTCATGGGAGACATATCAGATAGCAGTCAGACTCTCTCAGATCTTTATTATTAAGAATAGAGACTTCTAACTGTCTTTGAATGGGACGTCGGACGTATGTGACCTACTCTAGTCAACGTATACACGGCCCATCTTCAGTGTTTACATAACCTGACTGCATGTACCAGTCCAAGGCATTTATTAATGCGAACGACTACTTTATTACAACGTGACATGTATTACACTGTCAATGGTCTGATATAACGTACACTACTGTACAACAAGGTTATCAGAAGGATGGAAAGTGACACTTTGAAGTCATTTACCTTTTCCAGAGAAGCTACTGATGCCTGTCCTTCGTTTTCTGCTCTTCTCTGTTTCCGTCCAGGCCAGAACCGTTCGGCTCAGAGTCACATCCGCCTGCCTGCGCTTCTGGAAAAGCCTGGAGCACAATAGCACAGGCTGTTTGTCCATAATGTCGTCCCGAACTGGTCATTCGTCCACAGTTGTCATGACACTTTTTTCTTCGGTCCGGCTCAGCTCAGTATAGACAACACAATGGATCTACACGTATTAGTTCAGTCCTCGGTAAATCGGCCAGAGCCGTTAGCATAAGAATGGATCTCGAACAAAGATCGTTTATAGCCAAGATGGCTTACTCCGCAGAAAAAAAAAATTGTCCGGCTTGCTTTCCAATTTATTGCAACAACACTACGGCACTGAAAACACCAAATGACAATAAAACATTCTATGTTACCTATATTTGCTAATAATTAAGACTTTACCTTTACTAAAATATAAAAGAAGGAATTATACTAAGTAGTAATTCTAAGTAGTAAAGTCATTGGAATTTGCAAATTTACTCAAACATGAAAACAAATACAAATCTATGTGTATGAGCCAATTAAATCTAGTAATTTTTATTCCTAAATTAGTAACCAGGACTTTTTAAAGTAATTTGATTACTTGATTTGTTTGATTTGTCATTACATCGTTGGTATTTACAGTAACTGCTAACAGTGATTGAATAGCATAATATTATATAAAAGCTGCAAGTCAGTAATTGTCGCTGTGGAAAATTAGTGTAGTATTGTAAATTACAACCAGCACTATTAGCAGTTAACCACGTTCTGTTCTTAGTTCTATTAAAATTAAAACTATGTACACTTCTGAGCAAAGGCTAACACGGAAACAACATGACAACGTGGTGCAAATATTTGATGCACGTAGTTTGTTATTATCCTGTAATAATATCATCAAGTTGCTAGCAGGGTGTGACGTCAGGCGCTCCCCGAACCACCTACATCCAAAACTCACTTGTGATTGGCCCTTGTTGAGGAAGTCTCGCTCTGACCAATCGTAGCCAGTTTTGCTCATCGTTAGACAGTATCAACATGGCAGCTTTCTGAGTTTTGGTGTTGGGGGACCTGGTGTAAATAAACACACAATTCACACTTAACAGACAACGACAGCGCCTGGTTGTTTGGCTTTGGGACATTTCTGAGAAGCGCAAAGAAAATGTCGAGCGAAAGCAACAGAAAGCAGTTCTGGAAACGAAACACAGCTAAGGTTCCTGGCAGGTGAGTGACGTGTTCCCTACTGTCGGCTAGTTTAGCGTAGCTAAGTGTGATTCCATTGACGCTGTTCTGTACAGTCACAACTGTATTTGTCATAACGGCCCTGTTGTCCTGCACGGTGTTTGCGAGTCTATTATTATGCAATAAAGTAACATCAGTAGTAAAATATATTCATAGACAGTTTGCCAATTGTTGCAATTAGCCGAAGAGCTACTTTGCTAACAGTGGCTAACAATTTAGTGATTTAGCCCATAGAGTTGCGATATAATCATATATCTGTCTAGTAGAACAACTCTGGTCTGGACTTCATGTCCTCTCCGCTACTGCAGGTTTAACGCACTCTGTCAGAGCAAACGTGGAGTCAAAACAGATAACTTGAGAGCTACTTTGTAACCAGCTCATCCATTGACATTTTCTCTCCACTTCCTTAGCATTCAGCATGTGTATGGAGCACAGCATCCACCTTTTGACCCGCTGCTTCATGCCAAGTAAGTTCAATGCACGTCTGTTTTCTTGCAAAGCACAATGTGATTCTCCTGCAGAGTAACTTGGACATAAACTGTTAACTTAAAATGAAAGATTTTGTATTTTATTGACACCAACACCTAAAATTATATTTCTGCTCTTGTCATCATGTTCTTTGTCAACAACTCTCATCATTTAGTTTTGATTTATATGATCAGTATTTAAGTTTGTTCTGCCTTTAAAAAAATAATTACCAGACTCATTCATATTGACTCATGAACTGAATTGATGAGTTATCCTGGTAGATCTTTATAAATAACTAATGCGTAAAGCAATGTTTTAAACACACCATGTGCTGTTTTTCACATTGCTATTTTGACAGTTTTGTTTGCCAACGTGTAATTATCATTATCGTCAATTCACTGAAGCGTTTATTTTCTACTCTATGAAACCTAGTGGGCATTTGTGACCTCATGGGGTGTGGTCCTAAATGAAACTGCTCATAACTGTTAATGTTTTGATTGTTTTTAAGGAAGTGAAGCTAGCAGTAATCTAGGATGTAAACCTTAAAATAAACAGACGAAATAATGAAGTAATAAAGTACGCAGTGTGGAGACACTAGAGTCTAATACATTTATGACTGAAGGAGGTCTTTAACTGAGTGCCGCTGTTTGTTAAGGTTGGAGGATAAATGTATCTGAAATTTTTTGTTACAGTAAACAATTCTGTTCCATGTATTTCTGACACAGACAAAAATTAACAAACATATATATATATATATATATATATATTTGCATTTATAGATAGTAATAACACATTTCTCACGTTTGTAGGTCATTCATTGAATGACCTACAAACGTGAGTTTCTGCTGGGGATTTAATTCAATATGAATTCTCACGTTTGTAGGTCATTCAATGAAGTTGATTTCTGCTGGGGATTTAATTCAATATGCTTGTTTTTGTCTGAGTATAAGGTCAAGTTGTGCTTTTACTTTTCTTATATTAACCTCATTGTCTGTTCCTGTCATTTGTGGATTTATACAAAACTGAAAAACCCTTATTAGAGTTATTTATTCTTTTTTTTTACACAGTAAGAAGAAAGGGTCTATTTATAACAAAATGTCACTACCTTTAAAAGTTGAGTTGTACTTCTGCTTGAATTTGGAACATTCTTACAGCACAGTGAAGTCAAAGGTTTGATATTTCATCATTGTAAATATAGAAGAAAACATGTTTTTTCTTACTTTCAGGTGGTGCTGTATAATACAGTATATAAAGTTATGCTCTTCTACCAACATAATGCTAATAATTTATAATACTTAAAACACTTTATTCATTTAGTAAATAGTAAGTTAAACATAAACTTCATCTGTAAGCTGTATTTAGATTCCTAAGGTTAAATACATTTCTACACCAACTCTTTTATTAAAAGAAAAACAAATCAGGATTAAACACACCCTACACCTGTGGAGAATTACATTTCTGTACTAAGGACTGCTGGGTTGATTGCTGTAGCAACCACAGTATGTGTTTGTGTAATGTCTGTTGCAGCCATTTAATCCACATGCGTCTAATTAACATGTTTGCGGGTCAGGTGGTGTGGAATGAGTCATAAAACGGGTCCAGCAGGTAAATCAGTGGTTTCCACTGCTCCAGTCTCTGTTCCAGTCATTCATATGAAGTTCTTCTATCACAGAACAAACAGCACTGCCTTTTCACGTCATGTCTTTTGAAGGTTCAAAAAGTTAAATCAATTTAAAGGGAAATCAAGTTTGGTTATAAAAGGAGCCTCCACCAGAGGTCCAGTCAAGATGGTTTGCAGCCCACAAACTTGCAAGACAATCATGTGTAGAATTAAAACCTGCAAGATGACAATAGTGGGGAATGTTGCTGAGTGAGCATGACCTGCCAGCTAGTTTCCAGTTTTCCCATATTACCATTTTATGTTAAAATAGGATGGAAATTAGAAGTAAAGAGGGTTACACAAATCTACAGTTTCTGAAAATTTCCCTCTAAGCTCCTGTTTTTTTTTTCAGTCTCATACTTATCACTGCTCTATCACTGCCGTTTCCCTGCTCTTTGAACCACACTTTTTTTTCTCTCCCTTAATTATGCCGTGCTCTCTCTGCTCCTCAGTCTCATTAGAGCGGGCAACAAGCCTCCTCCAGCCACACCGGGGAAGCCCAAAAAGGCAACCACTTTCCAGGAATTTGAGAGCATCACAAGTGACGCCTGGGATGTTGGAGACGATGACGACGAGCTGTTAGCCATGGCCGCACAGAACCTTAACATCGAGGTGGTCATGGAGACGGCCAATAAGGTGAGAGCACGCTGCGAAGGGGTTGTAGTGAAAAAGCTATCAGACGGAGCTTTGAACACTTATTTTCCGTCTCTGTGGAGCGTTTTAGAAAACATTGAGTATTTTCTGTCTCTGTGGAGCGTTTTAGAAAACATTTTACCATTTAACGAGGTTTCTTATTAAAGTGCCAGAACCTTTTTTTGTGTCTGCTTTGACATTTAGAAATTGTTTTTTACTGTTTTTTCTTTCAAGAATTAAAAAGTTTGACATTTTTACGCGCTACAAAAAATTCTCTTGTGTCTTCCATTTTTAGATTTAGAGCTCAGTGAGAGAAACAAAACTGTTTCAGACATCTAATCTTTTATTCAGCTAAAGATTTTGATTTATGGAGAATTAGCATTTATTTTACTAAAACTATAGTTGGCATAGTGTTGAATTATGGCCTTAATTTAGGTAATGATGAGCAAAAAAAAAAAAAACAAAAAAAAACTTAGTGGCCACTCTTTAAAGAATATGAAACTGAACACTGCTGGTTTCACCCCCAAAATCAACAGGTGATTGAGAATCACAGCAAGCAGCAGGAGAGACAGAGGCTGGACGACTCGACAGAGGTGGAGCAGAGAGAAGAGGACGCGCAGGAGGAGACGGCAGAGGACGAAGAAGAGGATGAGGAGGAGGACGAAGAGGAGGGAAACATGACCGGCCCAGAGGTGTCGTTTGCCTCCCAGAGCAGCTATTTCACTGATGGTCGCCTGGTTAAGTCCCAAAGCGAAGCTCCAATTGGGTCACCTAAAGGTTAGTCGCCACCATTGCTCAATGTCCAAGTTCTCCGGCTCACCTGCATACTAAAAGCGAGACGATTTATCTGTGGAGCACTGGTGTCATGGAAAATTATGAAGATTATGCACTCTGCATAAGTAAATGTGAGTTGCAAAAAAACACATGACACACCATTGTGTGAGATGTTGCAAAAAAACACATGACACACCATTGTGGTTTAATCATGTGACACTAAGGATCTAAATGACTTTTCATGTATTTTTATCGCTACAATGAAATATTGAACCTTGGGTTAAAAAAAAAAAATTGATGACTAAAATAGTTCAGTGGTTGTCACACATGATAGATGAGCAGAGAAGAAGTTTTGTTGTCATTTTTTTGTCATTACAAGTAAAAAATATTGGCTTCTTTTGAACGGTGTAAAAGTTTAACTCCGTAAAGTCGTTAATTCATTGGTGATTGGTCGTTTACTTCTACTGAAGGAAAGAGTTTTCATTTCCTGGAAGAACCTCAAGCTTAAAATACCATCTCAACATCAGTCGCCTTTAGACATTGTTGTGGGCGGGGGGGGCGTCACTGAAAGTGAAAACTCTCAAAGCATTTCACATCACACAGTGATGACTAAAAATCCAACAACTTTACGAAGCAAAGTTCTCAACGATGTTTTCCTTCTCTTGACATTTACAATATTAATAATTCCATCATTTACCTGCTGTTGTTTTTCCTTCTGTTCCGGCAACGTAGAGAAAAAAAAGTCATTGAATTCACATATTTTGAATTTAATTAATTAATAATAATTGCAATTCAGAATAATTCCATCATTATTTATTTAGTTGTTTTTCCTTCTGTTCCGGCAACGCAGAGAAAAAAAAAGTCGTTGAATTCACATATTTTGAAGTTAATTAATTAATAATAATTGCAATTCAGAATTTTGATTATACTCAAGGTTAATCTTGATTAATTATGATTGTAAAAATTATTTGTGTCAAATATAATCCTAACGAATCACTGTTAATCATGGCTAATTACAAAAAAAATTGATTGTGCTTAATCACGATCATGATTAATCATGCATGATTAATTGCAGCCACAATTAGAACAACCGCCTCACTTCCAATGTTGTCATTTAAAAACCCTAAGATCTACATTTAATTTATAATAAATTCATTCTGCTCTTTATAGTTACAAAAGATGTGGCTTAAATAGACAGCGTTCTACTGTTGCCTTTTAAGTGTTAACGTCATCAGTGGCGGCAGATGCTCCACAACATAAACGTCTGGTGGACCGTTGTCCTGTCTGGCAGGTCGTCTGCTGTGGTGCAGTGTGTAGGTACAGATGACAGAAACAATCTGCTGCCTTCAGACACTCTCTCTTATCTCCTCCGATGATACAGTGCAGGCCAGAATTCACTTTTATGACACCAGGGTGGCACTAAAACACTGACACTTTTATGCAAACCTTAAACCAAAGGTCATTACTCATGACCTCACCGCTGTGTATTAAGTTATATTTCCAGCCGGCGTTAATCTGTGTCTCTCTTTGTGGTGAAGGTTTACATTTACAGTAGGTGGTAATCTGGGCATTAAAGTCATCTTTAGAAAGGGTAGGTTTTTAGACATTGCAACAGGTGGCCCGTGGACCGAATCCAGCCCACTGGACCGGCTTGCTACTGTATTCCAAAAAAAAAAAAAAAAGTTAAATAATAATGTTGTTTTTAATTAAGTGTCTGGTCCTCAAGGTGTTGGTGTGTGCTTTAGATACACACTGGGCTTCCGACAAAAGGCGTTGTGACCTCGGACTTTCATTATTTTAAATCAAGTTAACTGGAGCTTTGAAGCTGTGAATGTGTCGAAGAGGGAGTTCTACAACAGTCCTATTTACAAAAGGAGTTCCTGCAGAACACTACCTCTGCTAACCTGTCTTTGTTGGCCCACCAGATGCAGCCAGCGAGTCTGCGGCCCTCCACAGACAGCAGTCGCTGCCTCACAGACCCCCACTCATCCCACTCGTGGCCCGCCTGGCCG